TGGTCCACTGAACGGTGTGATATTAGTAAAATCCCAATCTAAACTGATTTATCCCAACCCAAAAATCGTTTCATGGGCCCTTTAAGACAGACGCAGGCGACGTTGCGAGCAGACGACGTTGCAAAGGAGCAGACGACGCTGAGATAGGGGGTCGCGATCAGCCAATCAGGGCTCGGCGTTCTGACGTCACCGCTACTTCCTTTCTCATGCGCAGAAGACGAAAATGAGCCCACTTGCGAGGCGTATATCACGCGTAGCAATGCCGCAGATTGCGCCGTTGATTCGCGATTCGCGTCGGACATAGCTTAGCTAGACGTCCGACGAGGATCGGGGGGTGGGCGATGTTTTGGAATTTTCATGTTACAGATATTTAGCGAGAAAAACGGGATGGACGCGATTTCTCGGAGGAGGGCGTCCTTACGAGATTTCACGTAGGTTAGTCAATACCCTCTTCCGATGCCACGCCGCTTGGGTGTACCGGGTATCTAATTCTAGAACCCAGGTGAGGGTCAAAATATATAGCTTGAAACCCTGGAGATTGGAGAGCGACAGAACAGCGCAAACGAAAACTCCATGCTCTGTGCTGCGCCTTCAGTTCCCATCCACGAGTGTTTGAATCTCTACTTTAAACCACGTCACCCACATTCATCTTTAACTTGAGTTGCCTTTGACCTAATATTTATTCGACTGACGTTTCTCATTGCGAAAATATCCGCTTTTATGGTTTGTAACAAACTGTCAGGTTTGTCAAATTAGACGGACCAAAACAGCCTAAATTTTAAATGACTAAATATTAGGTGCCTACTGGGCAGAGCTGGCCAAATTACTCATATTTTGTAATTAAATTACATTACTAATTACTTTGCTGAAAATTGCTCAAATGTAATTAATTACATTACAAATTACCACAGCCAGAAAGTAATTAATTACCATTACAAATTACTTTTAAAAGTAATGACATTACTTTCGCATTACTTTTGTATACTTTTAAATATAAAAAGCTATTGATAACTTGCTTTTACAGATAACTTTATTTACATTAATTACACAGTTCATGGCACACAGCTAGAACTCTCTGTTGCATATTTACCGATGGACAGAGGAACGCACGCGACTGATCCGTTTCCCACCCCAACCCGGACAACTATTTTTGGAGATGACTGAGGACCCTACGCGGATTATCTCTAGGAGGGGGGAGAACAATTCTCATTGTTCGCAAAATCGCGTCGAGGGCCGTTCCACCAGGGGCCTTAGTTCGACCAACTTCCCCTCCGTTTGCCGAGAATGTCGAGCAAAAAAGCTCGAATGAAAGGCACTTATTAGCCCTATTTCTCACAGTGGAAGATAACACAGAGAGGGTACGCAGTATGCATCAGAAAAAGTAAGCGGAAACTTTCAAGAGGGGCCAGAAAACGGCGAATGCTAAACCGCAAAACATAGGTAGAGAATCGCGCTGAGCGGGTTTTCACAGTTCAAGAGAGTGGCAGAAAATGTCTAGCTGATGGCGGGCGCGAGAGTCGCACCAGCCGCATGAGCATCAGCAACATAGCGGCGGCCAAAGAGCGTTTTTTGGAAAGGTGTAGAGAAAAAAAGAAAAGTAAAATAAAAAGAAAAGCGCTCTTGTGTATTGTGGACACAAAAAAAAAATATGCCTGGTGCGAAAAAGTAATTAGGTAATTTAATTACAATTACCGTCGCTGGAGTAATTCATTACATTACTAAATTACCTGCTACAAAAAGTAATGAATTACATTACTAATTACTGGAACAAGTAATTAAATTACTGTAATTTCATTACAGTAATTGCATTACTGCCAGCTCTGCTACTGGGTGATTCAAGGAGAGGACAGACTCTTTGAATCGACCGCAAATTTCGGTTTCTTAACCTATCACGCTCCAATTTTGTGCTGCGTGGCCCACAGATGGTGATTTTTTTGTGTAAAATTTGCAAAAGAGCAAACTTACCCGAGGAAAAGTAAAGAAGGAAAAAGGCTTAGCTCCTATGGAAACGCAGCGAAGCCACCGGTCTTCAAACAATACAACACCGCTTCGCACGGGAGACAAGAGATGGCGCAAGCGGTCGCGATGCCAACTGCCACCAACGAACGAACATACGGCGCATAGAGCCGGCGTCTTTAGCAGACGATCGTTTCGACTCAAGAGCGGCGCGTTCTGCAGGCCGGCGACAGTCGCAGAAATAAAAACAGACGCGGTAACAAGAAGGAACTGCAAAGCAAACGACATCAGCACCCCGAAAAAAAAAAAAAAAAATAACAGTCAAAATATCCCGACAAACCATTGTTTCAACCGACTATCTGTCCATCCAATATGTTTTATTAGTAAGGGTGATAAAATAATGAATTGGCAACTGATATCAGAAAAGCTCGCGCCGCTTTTGAGTCGAAAAGATCGTCTTCTAAAGACGCCGGCTCTTTGGCGGCAGTTGGCATCGCGACCGCTTGTGCCATCCCTTGTCTCCCGCGCGAAGCGGCGCCATATTGTTTGAAGACCGGTGGCTTTGCTGCGTTGTCATGGGAGCTAAGCCTTTTTCTTTCTTTACTTTTTTCTCAGGTAAGTTTGCTCTTTGCAAATTTTACAAAAAAAGAAAATGCACGATCTGTGGGCAACTCTGCACAAAGTCGTAGCGCGATAGGCTAAGAAACCGAATTTTGCGGTCGGTTTAAAGAGCCTGGCCGCTCCTTGAATCACCCAGTAGTTTGTTTTAAGGATAAAAGCTCAGAGAGCGCGAAACTTTGGAAACGCCGGTAATCTGGCGCAACACTATCAATTTAAATGAGGATTTTTTGATTGAATAGTGTGTTACTCGCGAAATTTTGTGGATGCTTTACGAAGTTTTTGTTTTGCTGGTTGTAGTTGCGGCTCATATCGGAGGTAACTTTATTAAACAAAACTTTTTATGTACATGTTACATTCATCAGAGTTAAAATATGTCATGCTGTACGCACACACGCGCAGCAGGTACATAACGCATTTTTAATTGCAAACGCCGTTTAGTAACAAACAAAGGGAACTTCTTGAGAGAAGCCTAAATGGCATCGTCTCTTTATACTATGGGTTTCCAAACCGTGGCCCCCTGACCAAATCCGGCCCTCGAAGGCATTCCGACCGGTCCGAGACAGGCTGCGGTCTTTGCAGTGACGCAGGGCCTGCGGCTCGGCACCAGTAGGTCTAGAGCAAAACTTAGTGCGCGTAAATAAGCGCGCGTAAATAAGCGCGCGTAAAGAAGCGCGTACAAAGAAGCGCGTGCAAAGGAGCGGAGCCGCCACGCGTACCAGCCGCGCAAAATAAGACACCACAAAAAAGAACGGTAGAAAAATGCAACGTTACGCGGGACCTCTCATCATATTATTTATGGCACATTGTCATCACCAACCTCACAATCTTAGTCCCCTGTTTCATGTCTGTGTAACTACGTTAAACGTACCTTACGGCGTCTTGTATATCGTACTTACTGTCCTGTATCATTCTCGTTGATTTCTTGCCCTTTGTGATTATGCCATAGTTACTATGCGATTTGATTTACGTCTGGTTCGCTTGCTTACAATAAATTTTGTAATGTTATATTGAGCCAAGTATTGCATTTTGAAACAAAGTGTTGTGCTTATTCACGTTGGTAATATTTGTTTTCTTTTTACTCTGTTCTAAATTTCTGCATTGAAATGCTTATCTATAGTGGCAGGTAAAGAGTTCAGGGAACGCTCATCGGCTCATCCCACATATTTCCCCTTTGGCAAAGCGAATGCGTAAGAGAAGGCAACCTCCACCGCTGCATTCGCTCAGCTAAAGTGGAAAGAGGTGGGAGGAGCGTCCCCTGGATTCTTAATCTGTCATCGACTATAAGCCTATTTATTTTGTTTCTATTTATATTGGCTCGTTTATTTTTCGGCCCTCGAGAATGCGACAGCCCCTCAGCCAAAACGTTTGTAGGGACCCTGCTTTAGACTATAAACCATATCAGGCGGCTAGCGTAATCCTAAGCTCAGATTAACTCTTTTCCTAACTCAGATCTAAAGCAACTTCGACCAGCTGTCTTGACCGATCGTGGACATTTCACCCTTTATTTCAAAATGTCACCAAAGATAAATATGAAATAAAAGTGAATTTTTCCTTAGGAACGCATCTGATGTGGCGATCTACTAAGAGGAAGACATGGTGCCACAGACTTTTCTTTTTGCCACCGCGATTTATAGATAGGAGTTTTTGGGGTAAATTCAAAATTACGAAATATATTTACCGGCTAGTGTTTTTTATATTTCTAGTTTTATTGGCAAACAAAACACACAGAAGAGAAATAATCTATGATTATTTATACTGGAAAGCACTGCGAAAATAATACAGAGGGTAAAGCTAGGACAATGTCGCAAAATCAGTCCGCATGCACTTAAAAAAGATATATACCGTATGAAGTAATACGTGACATTTAGAAAGTACATTTTAATGTTTTAGTTAATCACGTAATTACCCAAAGTCGTACGGGTGTTTTTACATACAAATTATTCACAAGCACGTCCGCCCATCAGGCGCTCTGCAAGAATGCGACTCGAATAGGACAAGCTTGATTATTTCGTAATAAATATTGCTCTCTGACATGAACACTTTTCGGCTATCGAATGGCCCGCTAGTGTGTCATAATTACGACTCTTTTTTCTGCTTTTTACCTGTTTTATTTTTCTATTCCTACGACAGTTTACCACTTTTTAGGCTTCGTGCTGTTTCTGGGCGCGTTAAATTAGAGATTATTAGCACAAATATTTCAAGTTTTATTGTAAGCTTGTCACCTTCTCGGAGTCTTAAGCACTTGAGTCTCAAAGCTCCTTCTAGAATCAAACAATATCTACGAGGAACCTCAAAACAATTCCCGATAATGGTGAGTACTAGCACTTCATGTTACCAACGGTTAAATAAATAATCATAAGAAACAGTAGGCAGTGTGCTTATTTAAAGGTATGAGAATGACAGCCAGAGCTTGAATCCTACCTTGCTATTGACGAAAGGGAATATGAAGGCCAGGAGGAACAGTGCTACGAAGGGACCCGTGGTGGTGCTGGCAACCATCATTATGATCTGCGCAAGTGCAAGAGAGGATACCGCAACTTTGGCAGCGCCACAATCAACAGTCAAGGTATTATGCCAGAATTAGCAGCGCTTTAACTGCAAACGTGAATATCGTAAATATCTGTTGAGTCTTTTTTCGCCTGCTCAATATTTTGCGACTGTTTCAGAGTGTAAATTTCGTCAGTATTTCGTAGCGACAATACTTCGCGATCTTAAGTGACATATGCCACATATCTTTCACCATGCGCGCATACGTTCGCGTAATTAACTTTTCGCAATTTTTTCAACTTCAGAAATTCGCGAGAATTATACCCTCAGGAAATTTTACAGCATTAAATGTTTGATGCAATAATCTTACTCAAACTGATGTTTTTATGAGGTCTTCATTATTTTTAATAAAAAAAGCGTTTAAACAACCTCAACTCTTCTTTGTGATTGTTGAAGAAAACTTTGCCCTCTCTTTTAGCTCCCAAAATAATTATTTGAAGAGTACAGCCTTGATATCTTCTGGACATAGGCCATCCTAATGATATTGTCCCACTATTATCTCATCTGATCATATCACCTCATCATCGCATCTTCTCATCTCATCTCTTCATCATCGCCTCATCTACTCATCTCATTTCTTCTCATCTCATCATCTCATATCATTATCTCCTCTCCTCTCATCATCTGATATCATCATCTCATATCATCTCATCATTTCACGTCATCTTATCTCCTCATCAGCTCCTCATCCTCTCCTCATCATATCCTCGTCATCTCTCATCATATCTTCTTCTCTTCTCATCTTTTCTCATCTCCTCTCATCTCATCTCCTCTCATCTCCCCTCCTCTCATCTCATAATAGAGAGTGTTTCATCGAAGAGTTACAAAATCCCTAAGAAATAAGTGGTAAAAATTGTTACGATAAAAAACAAAAAAACTGTCAATCATAGTGGACGTCAGGAATTGCAGAATACAAAGATATTAGTTATGTAAATAAGTACAATGCACAAAATGACTTTTTAATTCGTGAAAATAAACATCTGATTTCCCTGAGAAACTTGCTAAGCCTTATCAAAAACCACTAAGTCAACTCATTTTAGAAAGATAAACGGAACGTAGGGCGTTCTACGGCGTTTCAAAAAACGTTCACTTTGGAAGCGCTTCTCCGTTTGGGTGTCCTACCGGTTCGCATCTCTGCGCTAGTAGCGTCGCCCCCTCGTGACCGAGGCGTGCAGCTACCACCTCGCCCAACGTCTGCCTTTCCTCCCTGGTAGGATGGAAGGGGATGTGGTGCTCGTGCATTGCGCGCCTCAGTCACGGGGTGGGAGGACCGCTGGCGCAAAGATGCCGCTCCGATAGGAAACCCAAACCTAAAAAGGCGTCCACATCGAGCTTTTATTCGTAACACCATACAAGACTGTGCGCCCTTTACACCTTCTTAAAATCAGTATATTTAATTGTTTTGCATCATGCACAGCACGTTTATGACTGAAATCGTATATTTATTTTCACAGTTTAACATGCTAATACTTCGCAGCGCACAACAGACAACACACCATCAAAACAGATACACACAAAGAAACAACACTCACGCAGCGCTGACTGTCAACTCTCGGATATTTCTTTGTTTCTTTGTTTCTTTGTTGTATTGTTTCTTTGTGTGTATCTGTTTTGATGGTGTGTTGTCTGTTGTGCGCTGCGAAGTATTAGCATGTTTAACCAACTCGCCCAAGCTGAAGTATTGACACAGTTTAAAATTCGGTTAGTAACTTTTAGTTAATTATTTAGCAAATTAGTATGTTTTTGCAATCTCTGGCGTCCAGCTTACAAATTGTTCCCGTAAAAAAAACTGTAGTTATTTACCCAACCATTGTATTTCTTTGAATTTTTGAAATTGTTTGGTGAACCCGATATAAAAAGACGCCGTCTATACATTTCGTACACGCGTCTAGTAAAGAGACCGGGCGCCTTCATTACTCTTGGTAGTGACATTTCAAGCGAACCCAGTAATATGACTGAGCATTTTGTGACATGAATTGCATCAAATAAAATTTTAGAATTCATAATTTCAGGTTACTGAAAGAAGTTTAATATAAAAGTTGCGCGTTGGGAGGTAAACAGCTTTATTAAGCATTCCCACTAAAATTATATCCACGCAAAAGATGGGCTGTCATTCTAGAGTCGGAAGTTTTCGGAATACTTTAATTATTTCCGAATTCAAGGTTCAACAGTTCTTTAGACAACGTGGTAGCGTTAATGTGAATGTGAAACTAATTTTCTGGACATTATCTGAATCGCAGTGTGTCAGTCATCAAACGTGAAGTAGTAGTAGCATTATAATACGAACCCTGGACGCAGAGCCCATGTAGGGAATAAGAATACTGTACGCTGTCATCACAGCGCCAATGACAAGGGCTGTAGGGGATAGAAGAAATGACACCATATTAGGCATTCACCATTAATTCACATTGGAGAATTTTAAATACGTGGATTCACATCAACTTGTAATCTTGCATTTCAATTTTTCTGCCATTTAAAAAATGCATATAAAGAGGTCAGGACACGCCAAAAATTAAATATGAGATAACGATACTGCTAGGCCCCATTGCATATTATCACGAATGGATTGGCGACACGGGGACTCACGAAGAAACTAAACGTTTAATAAGGCGAACCTGTATCAAAAGAAAAGAGTAATAACAGGCGCCGAAAGCGGGCGTCGATGACGGCGAAGTGGCGGGATCAAACGCTGGTGAAAGACTGACTCCCGCTCGTCACGCAGAGCCCTTTATGTACACGCGTGGGCTTATGGAACATTAGGCGTAGAACATTCGGCTCCTAGGACCTTCGGACCTCGAATGCGCAACAAGGTTCTTGAATTCGCCAGAATGTGAGACTTACAGAGATAATAAAAATTTACGCCCGCTGCCAGGAATCGAAACGTGGCCATTCGCGTGGGAACCAAGCACGATAACCACTGCCGTGTCAAATAGTCACGGCCATGGGCGCGCTGCCTACTTGGTCAGCTGTGCGGGCTGCAACATTGCTATCATCCTGCTAAATTTGTTTTGAAAATGAAGAGGTAGTTTCGTAGATAAATGAGCTTAAAGGGGCCCTGGAAGGATTTTTTTCCTGGTTTTTAATTGGCACCGAATCTAAGCGCACTGAACGTAGTAACTTATTGAAACTTTTCTTTTCTCGAATTTCGCTTTATATTAAACGTTATAGGAAAATCAAAATTACAAAAATAAGCAAAAAATAACCCCCTTCATAACGCCCTTGGTCGCTTGAGTGGCCGTGAACTAGAAGAGGGGTAGTGAGCTCAGCGAGCGCTCACAGCTGCCGCACTCCGTGTCGACGGCTCGAGAGGGCGCACCTAAAGCAAGCTCTCGATAGGCTGTATGAAGCGGACAGCTAGGGCGGCTGGCATTGCATTTGCTGCGCGATTAAGCACTAATTCGGCATGACCCCTCATTGGCCACAAATGAGAGCAAACACAGGGTAAAGATCAGTTCAGAACGGGAGCCACTTCATGCTGCCATACCGCCAAATGGCCAAACCGCAAGCCAAAGCTGCTAGCCGAAGGCCTTTGGAACGCTCGAAACCGGTCGGATCCTCCATTCCATACGACCGCAGCGCTGCCGCGCACATCCGGGACCTTTCCACACCCGCCGCTCGTCGGTGCCTGATCCCACTACTACCCCTTTCTAGTATGCGCCGCCTTTCCCACTGCTTGGTGGCGGGTATGTCGACTGGTCATTTCTTGTTTCCGTACTTTCTAAACTGCTTTTGTTTCTTTTCCGATCTAAAAGAGTGAACAGAAACCAATTCAGTAAATAATTGAAACGATTCGCGCCACTTATATTTTGTATTTCTACTAAAAGGAAGCTTTTAGCGGCTCAGACTAGTAGTAAGCCCAGGACCAAATACCTCACGGTCCGAGCGCTTTCGGCCACCGCGGGTCGCTCTCATACACTCTAAAATAAAGGGAGTGTAGACGTTACACCCCTTGTCAAATATACGACCCCCAAAACTTCAGTTCGACTTATAGCGCGCTGACGTCGAACTGACTGCCCCAACTTTTCCGAGAGGGTTAATGACGGTGCGATATAGCATAATAAACAGCTAAAGTACGTATCAAAGTCTACAGGAAAAAAACACACAGGTTTTGCAGCTGAGCCTAGAAAACCCCGATAACTTTTTTTTTGCAGTCAGTCACACTTACATTGACTATTTTAATTAATTGTACAACTCGGCTATCACGCCGCTCGTGAAATTTGGTAGCGTCGGTATAAAGTTAGCGCACTGTACATCCAACTGAAGTTTTGGGGTGTCGTATATGTGACAAGGGGTACAACGTCTACATCCTTTTTTTTTAGAGTGTAGGTGGAGGAGGTTTCCTCGTCGTCCGGTTAAAATATGACGCACTGATATTTATTTACTCTCTCCATGCCCGCTGGCCTGCCCGAACCCTAAGAGACTTGGAAATCGCAAAAGAGGTAGACGCTTAAATATGATTCAGGGCCCCTTTAAATGCGGGACCCTTGGATCCACCCCATTCGAAAATGCTGCCGTGTTTGTGGGGTTCGGTGTCGTCACCTGCCCAGTGCACGGCGTCCCCTTGCACGCACTCGCAGACTGGGGTCTCTTGGCGTCTCGAGCTTCAGCTTCCGCGTTTTCGGGCATGCGGTCCGTGACGATTATATCTACGACATCGCTCGCTTCGTCGAAAATCTTGGACACTTTATTGCAGCAGCGATTAGAGTGATCGTTACAAACAGATGTTGGAAGCTGTTCATTCTTACTGCGACCTGCTGGCGACCAGTTCCAGCGACGGAGAGTCACGGACGAACTGGCCGTGCAGTCTAAGAAATGCCAGCGCGTCTACTTACCCGCGAAACACTCAAAGAGTTAATCTCTGCGATCGACAAAATCGGCTCAGCGAATGATGAGGCGGAACGTCTCTTTAGACCTAAAAATGAAATCTGCGCTGCGACATTACGCAATGCAAAGCGTCATGCTTGCATTGTGTAATGCCAGAGCGCTGACTTAATTTTGAGGTTTAAACAGATGTTCGGCCCCATCATTCGCTGAGCTGATTTCGTAGATCGCAGAGATTGGTTCTTTGAGTGTTTTGCGGGTAAGTAGTCGCGCAGGCATTTCTTTGAGCGGGCACGGTCGCCGTCGTCCGGGACGATCGCGCAGGCGCATGCTGTGTGGAAGGTCAAAGGGCTGGGGGCGAGAGGGAGAATAACGTTGTGGTTGCCGACTTGCGTGAGTGGTTTTGATCGTACCATGTTGAGGCGAGCTTAGGCGATCATGGGGATGCCTAGAATGAGAGAGCGTTCATAATCACGTAGTTTATGGGCACCATAGCGCATAGAGTTATTATAATGCACGCTAGAGGTTTAAGTGGCGCTAGTGTGCTGCTGCAAATTGAAGCAGACAGCAACCAGTCGAAAAGTGACTTCCGGTAATGCATTTCTATGGGGAAAAGTGAGTGCATTTTCTCGCTGCGCTCAATTATAAGAGCAAATATCACGAATATTTCGTACGTACTGGCACATTGGAACATTTCTCAATCACGCAGACGAAATAACTGGTCAGTTACGGCGTTTTTATTTGAAATTCGTGGCATGAAAAACTGCTAAAACCGCTTCGTACATGTATTTATGTGCACTGTCGGACACTGTTAGCGCGAACACGGGATCGGCGCTTTCCACGATCGGGGATATACGTGTCAAACGAAGGACATGTGGAAAACCAAGAGAGACGGCAAAAACTACGCAGTGACACTGGATAAGTAACTCTTTGTGCATGCAGGCGATCAAAATAAATTGAAAGCCACGTAATCTAGTCTGATTTGCAATAAATAAGTACTGCTTTATTCTTTCTGCTCATGAATATGTGCTAAGATGCATGTTAAATCTGGGTTCAAATCATCAACCGCACGCCCCAAATCTTTGCAAATAGGGAGAAGTCAGAGAATAGGTGCCCGATAAGAACTGCCCGACATAGGAAATAATAAAAAGGCGCACCTTTTGTAGTCCACGCACTTTATTTCTTACATTCAAATGTTTTTAACCGATCGTAAAGATGCACGACGAAGTCATTTTCATAGAGTGACAGAACGGGCATATTAGCAATATCATATAAGCGCTACCGCAATGCTAGCGAACCTTGAACACACTCTACGTTCTTTTCGATCGTTAGTTTGCTTAGAATCGTCGCTCGTTTTTACATACCTGCCATGAAACATAGGTTTGGGCCTGAAATATAGCGAAGCTTTACATCGTTCTGTGGTAAAGAAAAATGATGTAATTAAAGCAATTATACTTTTACAATATTAATAAATGTGCATACTATCCGGTGCAACCAAAATAATAAAAGTTATTCATGTTATTTTCCGGCGAAGAGACAAATTTCACGCGCGTTTTTCCATAGGAATGCACAGGAGCACTGCGAAAGTAGACTGGTTGCTGTCTGCTTCAATTTGCCTCCCGGAATTTGCATTGACACTAGCGCCAGTTGAACCTCTAGCGTACATTATAATAACTTTATGCCATAGCGTGACTAACTTGGTTGCCTGTTCTCCAGATGAAAGTGGTAAAAATGCGTAAATTTATTATTGCAATTAGTAGAGCTCTGAGAATGTCGATGCTTAGTGTATGTACAGTGGCCCAATTCTTTAATAATATCAAGCGAGCGTCGACCGCCGGGACGGGCAGCGCTGTGCCGCGGAAAAATGCGGTCTCACGGGAGAGAGTAGGCGCGTGCGCACAAAGCTCTTTCCGTTGCGAACGTCGTCTGCTAGGCTATTCCGTTGACCGCACACAGCCGCTGTTCATTATCTTTTATTTTCTCTTTTTTTTCGATACCGCTCAGGTGTGGCCTAGACCGCGCGTCATCTCGAGTTTAATTTACTTTTTTTTATTTGATGTTTGCGTTTAATTTTGTGAACACCAACAAAATTTAAAGATACGGCGACGTGACAAACGGAGTGCAACGACGCATTAAACTATATACCGCAAACAATGCTACGAGCCATAAAACCAACCCAGTGCTTTCACCCGGCCGCGTGACATCGTGCTTTCACGTGCAGTTGTACCCAACTGGGGTGACACACTTTTAGCGATGGACTGGCCAAGGTGGCTCCCAGCGTCGGCTGCGGTACAACGCAAAGTAAAACGGAGTATAGACAGGGTTTCCCCACTTGGTGTTTTGTATTATCAACGGGGTTGTTGCTGTCGTCATCTAGCCTGTGTAGCCGGGTAGTCACACTTTTGTTTGACCAGAGAGCGCGCGCACATTTTATGCCTCCTCGAGTGCCTACGGAAACACGGGAACGTGTTGTGAAAATGTCGATGGGCGGCATGACGCAAAGGGATATAGCAACAACAGTCGGGGTTATACAGGCTACCGCCAATAATAATAATAATAATAATAATATTCTTTATTCAGACAAGTGTCTAGGAGGATGGGGCAAAAGGCGATTTAAATCGCCTGACAGGGCTCCATCCCCCTGTACAGTCAGCAGCACAACGTACAGAAACATAGGAACAAAAACAATCAAATACTAATAGTGGGATTACACTAATAGTATTGTGAACGCGTTCCAAGAGGAGGGGCGTATCGGCGATGCACTTCGACCCTGCAAGCGCCCTGCCCTCCTTTGCTAAGGAGCAGGGGCTGTGTGCGATCAACGGAATAGCCTTGCAGACCACGCTCCTACCAGAAATGGCTTTGTGCGCAAGCGCTTAAAGGGACCATGAAATGATTTTAAAATCGAGTTTCATCCACCGCACGTCGTAAAAAATGTGAAAAGAAACACTAAAACACAAAAATAGGGAGCCAAAAAAAATTATTTGTTATAGAACTTTTAAAAGAAAACTGGACTCTTTTGCGCCTTCCTTCCTTCGCCTGTTCACTACGATGCATCCGCGGAAATGGAGCACGTCAGCCAAATCCAGGTCGCCTATTGGGTAAGAGCCTACCTCACCAGCACCGCGATCGTAAACGATAAATAGCCGGCGAAGGTTTCCTAAAAGTTTTGTTAAATAATATTCAGATCCACATTTTGTAGCATAATTAGAGATGTGTGGCGAAAATCGCCAAATTTGATAATGCTGAGAGCCAAGCGCCATCTATCGTGTGGTAAACGAAGCAACTACTGCGCGTGCGCAGTAGGGCAGGGCCGACAGTTACTTGGGTGGTGGCGGTGGCGGCTACTGACGAACGTTCATTTTCTTTGTTTTCCTTCCTCTCAAGACTCTGACTGACTGAAGGTTTATTTTTCTACGTGTTCTTCCCGCGCGTGCCGACTTCAAGCAGCAAGAAAACAGTACTTAAAACAGACCACGACGAACAAGAACGCTGGATCCACCGACTCCGACGAAGCGAGCTGCTCACAATATAGGCCTAGCAGGCATTCCGACTCGGCGCTGTGTTGCTTCGTCGCAAGACCCTCTGCCTACGACCGGCTGGCGTGCTAAATGGAATATGCCCGCGCGACCCTTGTGGACCCTTCCCGTATTATGGTTTGATCACTGACCTCAATTCTAGATTAAGAGGTGAGTTCAATCTCTTCCCCTTGTTTTCCGAGGCAGTGTTGACGAACGCTCGTCGAAAAGGGACTCTCGTCGATTCTATCTTCTTGTTTTGTGTGATATAGAGCTCAAATAAACGCCGTATGGATTACCTTCGTAACACGGTATGTACACTTTGTTATTGGTATGCCATTTGTATTCTGACAGACTGCACGTCACTGTCAAGCTATAACAGTTCGTGGGAGGTATACGTACAACCCCGGTCCAATTTTTCTTTGCCGAGTGTCGCGTCAGTATCGAGTTGCAATCGTAAAAGAACGGTCCCGAAGCGCTTACAAACAGCGCGAATACAGCACTTCCATCAAGCGCGCGCGTCCGCTCCGAGTGTAAACAGGTATTTACGTGGCTCTTGCTGACACTCGTAGTTCAAACGTATCTTTTTTAACGTCGGCTCGCTCCTGCATCTCCGAGGCCGCGAAAAACGCCATCTACGTCGCTTTGCAAACGACTGACACGGGCCGAACCTTCTGCCAACAATGACAGGGTGGTTCTGGAGTCTTCACCGGAAGACTCGCTGCACTTCCCAACAGGCATACCGGCGTATGGGACTAGTCCCATGCTGTCGCTGTAGCGCAAATATCTCATTGAATTTCGCTCAGCTGCCATGCGGCGATGAGAGGCGCCGATTCAGGAAATACGTCGGTGACATCAGCGCAGTAAAACCTACCGGCGCACCCCAACTCGTTGCCGCTAACACTCCCATTCTCCTACTGCCGAGAGAACTTCCGGTTCCGGAAACGGCCTACGTCACGGCTTGTTTTGCGGTCAGTTGGAGAGAATGAAAAAGTCGATATTTCAATAATTTTTTTGTGTAGAAGTTAATAAACCGAGAAGAAAACGGATGCTTGTTCGGCATTCAGTGAACATTGACGGTTTAATGTAAAAGTTATCTGGAAAAAGTAAAAAGGTCATTTCATGGTCCCTTTAATCTCTCCCGTTGCGCCACACGCCTCCGCGGCACGGCGCTGGCCGTCCCGGCTGTCGACGCTCGCTTGATAATATTAAAAAATTGGGTCAGTCTACAAGTAGCCCATGAGCATTCTATTTCGAGAATAATCTGTCCGTTTAATTTTTGTGTCCTTGCCCCTTTAACGTGATAATAAAATGAGTTTTGAGTATAACACTGGTGGTGCATATTTGTTCACAGTACCTTCCCAGCGCTGCTGACATAATTTTTCAACTAAAATGAGCTGGATATTACAAAATAAGCAAAAAAAACTCCAGTAAATATGGCCTGGTATATTCATGAAAAACAAGACGGAGACATTGGCGCATGCACGAAAAAGTGAAAGTTTCACAAAAAATGATGTAACAAATTTCGCCTCATCCAAAAAAAGAAAAAAAGTCACGGAAGAAAATCCGGCGCAGACGGCAATGTCGTCTCAGAGCTGCGCTAATTGCTCCAATGGGGAGAAAACGCAAGCGCCATCTGCCAATAGGCGCAGATAGTCGCCAGTTGAAAGCAGACGAAACAGAAGCAGTGCCTGCTGCGTCCTTTGGAGATGGCGCCCTTAGTACGAAACTCTAATGAACCGCTTGCCTGCGTCGTAATTTGCCTGTCCTTGAATATGTGAAAAATGCTTTGATATTTTTACGATAAGCGAGTTATGCCTGGATATTTTAAGATGCGTGCACACTGGCGCAGCTTGAGTGCTTATCAGAGCTTATTTATAAATGACCATGAGGGCTCTCCAAGTGCAAGCATAAAGTCCCTTGTACTAGGCGTTCCATAGGCACCCCAGGCGTGCAAGCGCCTGTAACGTGCGCGTAAAGGTAAGTTTGGAAGGCGTGCAGTTTGCACGTGCTTACCCACACCACCGCGCTGGGCATCCCAAAGTTCTAAATTTGACGTCACATCCCGCGTTTATTTTTAATGTTTATGAGTGGTTGTGAATTTTAAATTCACAGAGCACATATACGCTAAGGCTCACTTCAGCCCCGTTTTTTGAAGTACCTCTAGCAATAGCCGATATCTGAATAATTTTGCCATTGTCCACAGCAAAATAAACTGTTTTCCTCGAGCCTAATTCTTATCATTTTTATTGCGAATCTCAACCAAAAATCCCAAAATGGTGTTGCCTCCCTAATTTCGCTTAAATAAATTAAAAGAAAGAAGTGCAACGGATGTTAGTTGAAGCTTACCGAGACCTTTGGTTACATGCATTGCTTGAGTTTCACTCATTATGAAATTCTGTGACACCACATCCACATAACAGATAGCCGCCAAGGAGTTGATAACCGAAGAGATGGTGCTGAAAGTTCAAATGAGAGCGAACTGATGTTTCAGAAGAATTCGTGCACATAACTGAGCACGACATTAAAACGTTTCTCTGCACACCCATCTTGATGTCGCGGTAGCATGTCTTGTTTTTCTAGTATCACATCACCCTTTCTGATCGTAATGCAAACACGTCGCTACCCGCGCTAATAATGCTCATACAAATGCTCATACAGGGGAGTGCAGAAAAAAAAAGTGAAGCAATAAAGCACGTAAAAGAAGCCCTAAGGCACAAAACCGCAATTGAGGTACAGAAAAAATCATCGCATAAAGTTGCTTCGTGCTCACCAGAGTTGTTATTCGGTTTTGAGTTTGTTACGCGGCAAAGTTTACAGGCTTCGCCTGCGCTTTCAGTATATTTTTCTGTCGAAGTTGTTAAGCATACAGGTAGTAGGAGACGCGTTTGTTCTTTTCTTTTCCACCCGTCTCAGGTTACCTCGTTGAAAAACCTGTCGTGTAAGTTAAAAACATGATTATGACTGACTCGCTGGGGTAGTGTATAAAACCATACAGACAGTGTCGTCTGTTTCACTGATATATTTAGTAAAAAAGATAAATCTTCATAAAAGACGTTGAAAAAAAATCTGACCGCGTATATTGTAGGGTTAGAGAGCTAGGTAAACAAAGGTTTGTGTTGCAATAGTCAAAGTAAAATTGGACGTTTTTAGTGTTTATAGAGCGTAAGGTCGGTCTGCCAGGATGGGCGATACTGGTTTACACTGTAGATGAGCAATTTCGGCAGTGCAGTACGACTGCTAACATGGGGTCTTTGACGTGCTCACGCAGTAGTGATACACGACCGCACGCCGGTACGATGCTCATCCAGATCGAAACAAACATGGCACGTGTTTTAACGAGAGAAGCCAACTAAATTGATACATTTTCCTGTTTAAAAACAAATACCTCCGACTTTCATAACAATACCAACATTTATCAGACGTTTCGTCTCCTATACGGGAGACATCATCAGTGCGGCCTGGGAACACCCGACTTGCTACCAGAAATCCAACGCTTCTTCTTCCTTCTCTTCATCCGTAGCGCTGGTTCTGCCGACTTCTTCGTCAATGGTGTCTCCCGTATAGGAGACGAAACGTCTGATAAATGTTGGTATTATTATGCAAGTCGGAGGTATTTCTTTTTAATCATGAATCCCGGCTTTTGGAACATTTTTACATTTTCCTGTAAACTCTTTTTTGGTAAGGAAAGCCTCTACTAAAATTTTAGAGTAAAGAGAAAACTTCGGCTGGTTATAGACAGTACTTTTACCAGTCTTCTTGGTGAACGGTAACATCTGTACATTGTATAGAACATGCAGACAATATGTCGGAATACAAAACAAATGCTTAAAGAGTTTTTGAAACGCTTATTTCATACACGGTGTACTTTCTATGCATCGCGGATTTGTTTAGAAAACAACTGAAAGATACTATAATGTGGTCCGTACATTAGAGTTATACGACCAGGTGAACATAATATTGGCGGCTAATCGTCACGATCAGTTGAAGAAACTGTTACTTCACTTCGTAATTTTCGAAAATATCATGTGACTCAAATGAGAAACTTGCTGAGCGTTATAGAAAATCACTCAAAAATCAATCGCAGAAAAATTCGGAGCACGTGGGAGCGCGGTAGTACAGCGAAGTTCTCACTCTTGCGAAAGGCGCAAGGGTGGCGTTGAGAACACACGGAAGGTAAAATACGGAAGAACAGTGCGGGCGTGTTTTCACATTGCCAGCCTTGCGCCCTTCTGCACCAGCGGTAACTTGATCCTACCGCCGTTCTTCCCTTGCGCTTCAAACTTTTTAAACTTGATCGAATCAGTTAGTTCCTTTGGATGTCACTCAGCAATTTCCTAATTAGAGCCATTTCTTTGTTTTTGAAAGATAAATTAAGCACGGATATAAGAACAGTTATTTGATTTTTCCATTTATCGTTAAAATTAGCAGGCTATAGTATGTCCGCCAGGTCGTATAGCTGAATTCCGGCAACCGCATTAGATCTTTCCCGGCTTTCTAAAACAAATTCGCGAAGCCTAGAAAATACCCCGGGTGTTACCATAGGACAGTCGTTCTCAACCATTGATGTTTTGTGGACACCTTGTAGAACGACGTTTATGATGGAGGACTTCGTTCGGGGTGAGGGGAAGGAAGAGATTAGGGCTGGGCAGTATCACAATACAAATGTATCGCGATACTATTTCAGAGATACGTTTGAGTATCTGTATCTCTGCATCTAAATACATTTCAAAAATGTTTTTGTATCTCAGTAGTGGAATACACTTGCTATGTATCGGTTGTAACGCGGTACTCGGTCAGGCAAAGGTATCTCGCTGCATTCGAGGGGGGAAGGGGGCGGGAAGGGGGGGGGGGGGGGGGAGGTTGGCAGCGTTTTGAAGACGTCACCAAAAGATCGATGAGGTGAAAAGGGCTCAAACAAAAAAAAAACATATTTTTCGGAAAATGTCAACGTCGCCTTCGCTGTCCGCTTTATTTTAGAGCAGACAGCGGTTTATTGTCCTGACAGCAATCGTCAGGTTTCCTTCATAGAGAGGATGCTGTGAGATTTCTAGGGTTCACTCCTTTTGTGAAACGATCGTTCTCGTTTGACCTCTATGGGGTTCACTGGGGAACATAATGGTTTGTTATCCGTATCAGGAAAATCAACTATGGAGGAAGAGAAGTTCGAGACGAAGAGAAGGAGAAGGTGTTGCCTCATAATTTCCAAAATGGAAAATAATGAGGCGATACTCGCCACCTGTTCGCACCCCTTCTTCAAACTGCGATGAATATCCAGGGAAGTGGCAAACACTTTCGGCTTTGAGAACTTGCTCGTACGCGCCGCCGAGACTCACGGACCAAACACAAAGGACCTAAGTGACGAGGTGTCTTCATCAACGATGAATCGCGGGTTCTACGAGTTTGAAGATGGCAACTTTTCGGTTTCGGCAAGGTCTGAACAGACTCGCGTGAGAGGAGAGGTCTTCCACTATCTTAATGATTCAAGAAAAGATGTCTCCATGCTCCAGGAATTCCCAGCCATAAAAGCAGTATTTATTCGTTTTAGTTCGAACTTATGCTCCTCTGCAGCGTTGGAAAGATTTTTCTCGGTCGCGAGTCTTGTACTAGAATCGAACCGTCGCTGTCTTGACGACGAAAAGTTTGAGAAGCTTCTCCTACTCAGTTGCAATTAATTTAATTTTTTCCTGTTTGCGAGAACCTTTCATCAATAAGGAGAGATGTTTTTCTCGCTTGAAAATTCAGGTTTGTTCGTTTCTGGCGCCACATTTGGGACTCGCTTTTTATGGGTCATTACGTAGCTTATAGTGCATTTTTTTAAATTTTTTTACGAAATATGACGTCATTCGAGGCATTAAAGTATTTGAGTAGCTGTATTTCAGTATCTGCACTTCATTATCTGTATTCTCGGTTACATTTTTCCTCTTTTTTCCGAGTATCTCCGAGATATCCCCATACAGCAAAAAGAAATGTATCTCAGTATTTCTATTCCAAAATACTTCGTTAATTTATCTCAGTATTTCTATCCCGGAATACTTTTCCGAGTATCTCTGCCCAGGCCTGGAAGATATATAGGTCAATCCTGATAATGATTTATTAAATGAATATAACTAAGGGCTAGTGCGAAGTCAGACTTCTCACATTGACATACACGCAAGAAAGCGCACTCCAAAATTGGAACGTTAGAACTGAATAAGAAATAAAGACAACTTTTAAGGCCGGGCTTGACTGATGTTGCAGGGCTTCGCGGACCCATAAAACGTCTTCGCGGACCTCATAGGTTCCGCGGACCCCCATTTGAGAACCACTGGCACACGAGAAAACAATTTTTTTTGTTGATCATTGCACTAGTTTGTAGATTATTAGACGTAAACAACGCGTAAGACGCCATGTTGTAATTTTCTCTCTTCTCTTTTTAATGGGATTACTACAGTCGCGTACGATGTGAAAAAGCCCCGGCGAGCGACTGGCCGACAAGGACTGCCGCGCTATCTGTTGGAAGAAAGCTCAACCATTATCGAGGCTTCAGCGGCGGTTCAGTTTCTGTCGTCGCTCCCCGCTCGACATGCTGTGTCTGAGTTAATGCCGATTTCGCCGAATACAAAGGCGTTCTGCGACAAAAGGCAATATCAAGCGCGAACAACCAGTTTTCCGGCGTCTGACAATAAGTTCGCGGGATAAATGCTGGTCCGCGGTTTTTATTTGATTTCACCGAACGCCACTACTATCAGTGTTGATTACGGCAGAGTGAGGAGTAACGTCAGAAGTTGAACAGCCATTGAAATTCCAAACATTCCCAAAATAACTTCGACGTTAACTCCGTTTTCTTCCGTTAGATAGCACTGGCTTTGGAGCCAGGCTAGAGTTCCTGTATAGCTCCCCCGAAGGGGGAGCAGAGTTGCGCATTTGTTTTCCCCGTGCCACCACGCCGCTATTCGCCGAGATCCATCACGTAAGGAGCAAAGCATCAGGCGCCGTGTAAGAAAGCCACCTTTACGGTCGCTCCGCCGACCGTAAAGGTGGCTCCTCACGTGATGTTCCCCTGCTTTCGCCCTCCTTCTCATCCTCTCCTGCTTTCCATGCGCGGCGGCGCGCGCGGCGCCGCTATTCGCCAAATTTAGTCACGTGAGGAGCAAAGCATGCAGGCCGTGCTGGGAAGCCGGCACTACGGCCACCCGCCGAGGCTGAATGCGCAACTCTGCTACCGTAGGTAGCATATACAGGAACTCTAAGCCATAGAGTAATCTACACAAGGGAAAGAGTGACCACTCAAGCCGTTTCGCGGCCGAGCGTTTAGTTTTCTCACCGACTGCTGAGTGGTGCCAGTGTGCCAATGAATGAAAATATTTCGTGAGGTTTGTTATAAATAAATACTCAAGTTTTAATTTTATTATATTTAAAATTGTTTCAAGTATCATAAAGGGTGAAATAGTTTTTGTTTACTACGTTAAGAAGATCACGTGATGTACGGCCTAGTCCCGGTT